CCATTGTTGAGAACTTGAGATCAATTATTATGTACCCCTCCACTAATGGGCCAATTTTGACCCGTTGGAGGAAGGGATCGTAATTGGCGGACCACCAAACAACGGTCGGGAGAGTCAACCAAGTGCCCACATAGAGGAACGAGAAGTTGTGCCCACTGATAGTGTACAAGTGACGATTACGAAATTGTTCTTGTGGCTTGCATGTTGTGTGCATATGTATTGTATGTAACTTTCCAATAAAGTTCAGAGCTGGATTAGAGACTGGCTTGGTCCCTTTGGACACCAAACCCTGGAGTGTGGACACCTCGGTCAAGGAATGTTGGTCTAAACAGGTGTCCAACAAGAATCATAAGAGGAAGGCTATGGAAACCCTAACTATGCTAGTTAATTCGACAATTTGGAATAAAACAAATGTGCATCTCTTCCAAGGTATTTCGACCATGGCAAGCATCATCCTTGGACACATTAGAAGTGAGGTGGCAACATGGGTCAAAGCTCGGGGCAAAGGATTTGGGAAACATTGTGCCGGAAGAGTAGCCCCGTTCTATTATTTTAGCCTTTCATTGTTAGCTATCTTTTTTCGATTGATGTTGTTCTAGATCTCTCTTAATTAATGGGACAAGACAAATAGTTTGCCTCTGTTTTACAAAAAGGTCCGTAGCTTGCAAAGTTTTAACATCCATTTACATCACCTACTCCAGAGAGAGCGTCTGCTACCATCTTCTCTCGGACTTTTTTGTACGACGTGATTAGTGTCATAAAATGGAGTGTTTTAGCGTCTAACATCAGCTCTAAAAGACATAACACTTAGCTTAAAAAAAAGACATAACACTTAAAGTTAGATCGCAAAAAAAACATACACTTGCATGTTTTTTGCACTTTAATGCAACAATAAAAAACTCAAGGTGATATTATGATAGACTTTGAACAATAGAGAAACTCAATGAAACATTATACAAAACTTCAAAATAAGACTGTTTTTGTGAACAACCAAAAAAAAATGTAATCGTCAGTTAGACTGATAATACTTTTATATGCTTCTCCACAACAAAAAGCTATGTATGAAGATGTTAATTAGAAGTCAGAATATCTTGTGCATGGTTGCATGCTACACCACTATTCCTTGGATTAACTAGTTGGGCATAACGTCCTCCTATTTTGCGAACCAGCATGTGATAAACAAGCTAATACGATTTAAAGTAATCATACCTCATCCTAAGAAACTAAAAGTGAATCTACAATGGGCGGCTAGAAAAAGAAACATAAAAGTAGACAAGCGCGTCTGGAAAAAGAAAAAACGAACAACTTATCACTTAATAGGGCATCTAACTAATCGAGTGGTGCGAATAACTTTGTTTGGCCACAATTATGACAAAGTGAACCTTTTGTTGAAAGACCGAACTCTGCAATAAAGCTGCAATGGTAGGCCTATTTTTATCAAGGAATCCACAATGCTGAGCTGCTGCACACAGTGCATTCTCACTCACGCATCACAAATAGTGGGTCAGTTATTAAAAAAATGAAAAGGAGGGTGAGTGAGGCGCACAAAAAATAGATACTATTAGTACTCCAAAATAGTGGAGTACCAAAGTGATAGGCCTCTTTGAATAAGAGGATTCTCATAATTTTTTTCGTGCATTGATTATTTGATTCGTAAGAGAGAATCCTATAGGAAATGTTTTCCAAGGATTCGCTTGTACTGCATTTCATTTTTTGTGGATTTTTTATCTATCTATCAATCATGACAGTAAAATGAATATAGTAGAAATAATAAAAATTACACTTAGATCTGTAGACCACCTAGCGATGACTATAAACACTGAAGCGAGCCGAGGGTGCCGCCGTCATCGCCCCTCATTCACAGAAGCTGGGCAAAAGTTGTGGTAGTAGACGGAAGTGATCTGCATGGCACGTATGCATGCTATAATTAACTGAATTATTGGACCATCAAGATCGGATCACATCGGTCCTATCCGCGTCGATGACACTCTCTCCTCCTATCCCCAACGACTCGCTCGCATCCCACGCTCTGAAAGCGACCCCTAGGTATCATTATCAAATGCATGACACCAACCCCTCCCTCTTTCGATTTGTCAGTTAAATTACCTTTAGCCCACACTCACGCACACACCGTGTTAGGATTGATCGATGCAGCTTCCCTTCCCTACCTATTTAACGAGCTAGCCATCCCACACTCTTTGCACCTCAGTTCAGCAAGCAGCATCACACACACATACTAGAAATGGCAAAGGCCAGGACAACGACGACGACGCTCCTCCTCGTCGCCGCGGCTCTCCTCGTGGCCTCCTGCAGCGCGTGGGAGGTCAACATCCGCATGCCGACCTCGGCCGCGGACGTGGACGAGGCCGTGGTGGCGCCGCTGATCCATGCGCTGCGGCCGCTGCTGGGCTCCGGCAAGCACGCCGGAGTGGCGTGCGACAGCTGGGTGCTGGGCGTGGAGGCGCACAACGTGCGGGACTGGAAGACCGTGCCCGCCAGCTGCGAGAGCTACGTCGGCCACTACATGCTCGGCAGCCACTTCCGCCGTGACTCCAAGATCGTCATCGACCAGGCCCTCGCCTACGTCGACTCCCTCAAGCTCGCCGGCAACGGCAAGGAGGTGTGGGTCTTCGACATCGACGAGACAACCCTCTCCAACCTCCCTTACTACGCCAAGCACGGCTTCGGGTACGTACTCGATTGTATACATACACACTACTGATGCTATGCGTAGTGCATTATACTTGCTATCTATTGCAGGTGCATCTGAGCAGGGACTTGCACTCATCTTTTCATTCAAATAAACTAAAAATCTGACTAGGCATCGTTAATTAAAATCAACTGACTAGCTAGATAAACGATGTGGCATCGTAAGATCTGTAATGAATGAAAATGGAAAAACAAGGGAGACTAAAAGTGGAAATGTAGAAATGTATTACTTGGACGTGTTGGACACTTGGACATCATCACTTCTGGTCACCTCGAATTAATCACAGTCACAGAGACAGCCAGCAGGACCATATATATGTCCCTCGTATCAGTGATCGACAAATTAAAACAAGAGGGAAACATACTATACTAGTACTACAGTTAGATATAGAGATGTGTGCTGTGATGTGCATGTGTATGTGGTGGCCGGAGTAGGACCTTATCTGTTGTCCACTTGGCTAGCTACTTTATCGGACGGTTTCTTTTTCAAGCATCCTTATCAACCCATACTTTCTAACTATGTTATGCTTAATTTAGTTTAGATGGATAATACTTATTTTATAAGATGTAAGAAGTCAGAACATCTCCTGCATATTTACATATGCTGCAACACTATTCCTGTTTTTTTTTTGTTGAGTTGGAACACTATATTTCCGTGGTTAAGAAGATTCTCTTGAAACAAAATGGAAATTAACTTGAAACTTAGTAGAAGCCAAGATCATATCTAGCCAAGTTGATGCGAAAGGTTTAGTTCAAAACTATGATTAAGTAGTTGTGTGTAGTATAACTACCTTGTATATATTTTTAATATGATGAATGAGCTAGTGCATCGCGATTTTAAAGTAAATCATACCTTTCCTTAAGAAATTTTAAAGCCGATCTACACTGAACGGCTAGAAAAAGTAAACATAAAAGCATACAAGCGCGTCTGAGAAAAGTAGGATGAACAGCTCATCACAACATATATTTAACTAATCAAGGGGTTAGAGTAACTTTGCCTCGCCACAATCATGACAAAGCTAACCATTTTTGTTGAAAGCCGAAACTTTGCAATAACGTTGCAAACGGTAGACCTAATTTATCAAAGGAATCAACAAAGCTGTGCTGCTGCATACAAAGCTGTGCACGATGAGATTAAATACCACAACTAGTGATTATGTTTGGCGTTCGTTCTTGGTCCAACAAAACAGTGGCGGGATGATGCTGGAGTAGGACCTCGCCGTGTCATACATTGATTTATACGCTCCACATGGCCAACTTAATTGATCATCAGTCTCGTTAGTCCACAACTACGTACTGCTCATGCACATGCCATACGTACAGACGCAGAGCATTGGGTTTAGTTACCGCTCATCCACTTCGGCCGTTTGGCCACTTGGATCACAATCTAGGTCACATACTATGTTTCTTCGGGGGATTCTAAAAAAATATATGTTTCGGTATGCATAATTGCTAGCAGCTGATGTACTTGAATCTGCCATTAATATATCTTCATACACATGTGAGTGCAGGGCTACACCGTTCAACGCGACGAGCTTCAACGCATACGTGCGGGAGGGGAGCGCGCCCGCGCTGCCGGAGACGAAGCGGTTGTACAACAAGCTGCGCTCGGTCGGTATCAAGCCAGTGTTCCTCACCGGCCGGACCGAGGACCAGAGGGCCATCACCGTCACCAACCTCCGCCGCCAGGGCATCTCCGGGTGGATGAACCTGCTGTTGAAGCAACCCGGCTTCAAGGGCTCCGCGGTGACCTACAAGTCCGGTGAGAGGCAGAAGCTGCAGGACGCCGGGTACGTCATCGTCGGCAATATCGGCGACCAGTGGAGTGACATCCTCGGCGCGCCTGAGGGGGCCCGCACTTTCAAGCTGCCAGACCCCATGTACTACATCGGCTAGGCTGCCTCCGACTCAGGCATGCCGCCATTGATTTCTCGATCGAATAAGCTCCATGCTCTTAGTTATATTCATGTTTAGCCAATAAACCCTCCCCAATTGTTGCTTCGTTCATTTCCATTGTTGAGAACTTGAGATTAGTTGCTATTATGAATGTGTTCATGTAGAAGTTGCATGTTGTTTAATCAATGGATCGATCCACACTAGTAGAAAAAGGGCCTACAGTCCCGGTTGGTGAGGGCCTTTAGTCCCGGTTCATGAACCAGGACTAAAGGGTCGGTACTAATGCCCTGACCCTTTAGTCCCGGTTCAATCCAGAACCGGGACAGATGGGCCTCCACGTGGCCTGTCCGCTGAGCCCAGGCAGGAGGGCCTTTGGTCCCGGTTGGTGGCACCAACCGGGACCAATAGGCATCCACGCGTCAGCATTTCTG